AAAAAAAAAAATTTTGAAATTCTATTTTGTTGACCCGGCCGGGATATGAAAACCGAAACTATAAGTTTGTATGGCCTAATTACGTAAAAATTACGACATTATTTATGCAGCTTGCAAATTTATTTAATGCAAAGTATTAGTCATTTTAAACTTCATTATATATTAATAATTAACTCGCGAGTTAAAAAATTTATGATTCGAACTCGAATTATTCGAGTCACGAGTTGACGAGTCCAGTCACTACTTTGGAGAACGGAATACGGTACATGTAAAATCACTTGGGCGGACAGACGGACAAATTTTGCTACCCTGAAAATATAAGCCCGCGCTTTGCTCCGGACAATAATTTATAGATACATATACGTTTTTTTTTCTGGAGTACTTAATAATTCTTGGAGAATACACTGACATTCCGACAATTTTTCAACTATAGCTCTTAGATCTAAAATACTCCTTAATCTTCAACAACCTGACGTGAAGAAATTCGTTATATTGTTAACCGTGATTGGCAAAAAAAATGCGTATGTCAAGATAATGGAATTTTCCTACTTGAAAATCCGTCCCCAAAGAATAAGAAAATTAATAACTTCATTAATCGATTGTTTAAGTTTTCGACCTACAGTACACCCTCCCAAAACCGATCCTATCAAAATCGATAACCTGCTATAACTGATAAAAAATTGATCCACCATGTCTGTTCCATAATTCAACCCCGATTTCTGATAACCGAGTTTTAACTATTAAACTGTAGTTCAAAGTAGTTGATCTGCATATGTATTGACTACCTAAATCGGCGAGTCGGTCGCTAATCAAATCGAGGCCTTGTGTAACCTACGTTTGGCTTAGTCGAAGAGGCGGCGAGTGGGTGATTTTAGACGTAGGTATTCTTCCTGAAACTTATGTTGGACCTTAGATATGACTCACTAACACTTATGTTAACAATCTATAATATTTCTAACGAAACCTCGGCTTGAGTTCTTCCACTAAGATCTCAAACCGGAACACAATAACCACAGATTCCACAGTCCGTTGGGAACCTGGAAAACAACCACAACCGTCCTCGGTACGTTGGGAGAGCTGGAAAACCACGGCAGTCCTCAGTCCGTCGAGAATCAACCGGAGGGTAACGTTTAAGAAGTCACGTGGACAAGGCAATTATCGAGCAACGATCTTTCACTATGCCACTTAGTGAGTGATCAAGGTAAAAGTATTTACTATAGCGGATTGTTTAGTTAGGGTATTTAAGGGTTGTATTGGGTCAATTGGGTAATTATTATTAGGAACGATAATTGTAAGCAAACGGAACTTATTGTTCTCAGGGCCTTCACGGCCTTTATAATATTTCGGTATTACAATAATTCAATAAATTCGATAAATCCAACAAATCCAACAAATGCGATAAATTCGATAAATGCGACAAATCTAACAAATCCAACAAATGCGATAAATTCGATAAATCGGATAAATTAGATAAATTAGATAAATTGAATAAATGCGATAAATTGCACTTGACCCCGTGATCCTGGGTCATACTTTGGCCGCAGTTAGGTCAGATTCCGGGGCTCACAGTATATGGATAATACGAATTACACAGAAATACGGATTTCAAACAGTTATCCGGATTGCCGATCAACGGATCACATCACTAATATTAATTACTAGTTAAAATTTATGTTTTAATCATTAATCCACATGTTTGTATAAGAAAAGTCGTGTATAATTACCCGTATAATCACTTATTTCTTTTGGAGAATTAGTGATAAAATAATGCATTATATCATCCTTGACTTCGGCATTTATTTTTTCGGAGGGTTTTTCTTAAACCAATTATTGGTTTCTTGAAAAATCCCGCTTAAGCTTCTCCAAAACTCTCATTTGCCTTTGGAAAAACTGATCTTTTTTTTTTGTTGGTGAAGCATTTTTTTTATGATTTTCGATTTTAGAAATTTATAAACTGTCTTTGCGCAAATTTCATGATTTACGGGGTCATTTATTTTTTTCGGATTAAACTTCTCCAAACTCTCATTTGCCTTTGGGATAGCATATTTTCTTTTTGTTGATAACATTTTTTAGGTATTTTCGATTTTGAAATTATAAAAATTGTAAGTGGCGTGAAAATATGAGTACAAATAATTATTTACGGGTTATTTATTTTGTGCCTTTTATATGTTTATTACCGTATTATATTTATAAAAACGCGTAAATCAATTGTTATCTTGGTGGCACGTGAATTTACGTATCAGGAGCTGATAGATGTCCGAAGCAACAATCTGATTGGGTATCACGTGTTTTGTTGTTTTTGCCAGAAATATGCAGTGTAACCTAATATGAAAAATTGATTGGGTGCTGTCAACGGACATTGCATGGTTTGGAGTAAACATAGAATCCTCGCTACGCTTCGGACAATTACCCGTGCCAAATCCCATGCCGATTCGACTAGTAAACTGCTGCAAAACCCGAGCCATTTATGGCCAATTGGCACGGGCATACGGACCACCGAATTCGTACCAACTCGGACCATGTCCGTACAAATCCGGATCTTGTCCCGTGCCTATCCGTGCCGATCAGGTCTATTTTTTTTATAGGGTATGCATTCCCTACAATAATGAAATTAGGCACAAAATTCAACTCTGAAGTATTCTTAAACAAGATAGTTAACTCACTAATGGTTTAAAGCCGTAATCATGGTCTAAATCATTTGTAGCACCAAAAGTGATATTCTTGTAAATAAACATATTGTTTAAATCTAAAAATGTTTCTAAAGCAGTCCTATTAAAATAGCAATTTGATCATCATACACTTCAAATCTACATGAGCTTAAACAAGAACGATGTATTGGCACTTTATCAGCAAGTTCATTCAATAAAGTATCAATATATATTGATTGATTATATTTGGAAAGTGATAAGAATTCTTTGGAGGCATACATACAAAACCCCTAATAGCTTTAGTAGCTTCATCTACAGTTACAAGGAAATATAATGAAAATCATGTGTATTAAATGTACATAAACATAATGTGCGAGTTACCTGAATATATCTTATGATTATCTAAGTTATTGAAAAGTTCAAAAATGATAAGCAAATAATAAATTTTTAAAACAAATTTAAAGAATATTACCTGAATTAAGAATCCAATTATCATCATGAATTCCTTTTAGAAAACTATTATCAGCATAAGATTTGACAAAATTATTATCCATCGTTACATAATATTGTTCGTCATATTCGTTAAATATACTATCAATGACTATTACACTAACAGTAAATCTTATCTGAACTTAAAAACTTTAAGGAAAATTTTTTAGAATTTAACGTTTTACGAGAAGTTCGTTTGTGTAGCAGTGATGTCGATCATCAACCTGAACTTCAGAGGAGTCTCTCTGACCAACTTGACGGTAAAAAAAGTTCACCAACTAAGGCCACATAAAATTAATTGTTTATCATAACATATGAACTTTAAAGTGACTCTCTGGCCGCTTTTTAATTAAAAAAACAAATTTTTTTTCAAAAACCCACCCGAAAGTATACTGTAGTAAATAACTGTCATGTAATTTTTCCAAATCCGAAAGCCGATACAAAACCTGTTCACCATGCATGCGGAGGGCCAACAGTATATAATTTATATTATCTAATTATGTATATTATGTAGTCATAAACCTTTACAAATGACCAAATGAATTATATAAATCATATAGGTCATAAAGTTCATCATCAAACGTTGTCAGAAAGTGCCGATGAATCATTCGATTTACTCTCATTTTGTTGTCCACCCTGTCTTTTGCTTCTTGCATTATATTTTATCTTATTCAAACGGTCCTTATATTTTGCCATAAGACTTTTCTAAAAATTATGATAAGGATATATATATATTTCATTACATAAAATTTAAAAATTAAGTGTATAAAATTTTGAGTTTCAAATACCTATTTTTCACATTCAGCTTTCGTGAGTTGAAGTTCTTCTCCTAACTCTTTGATACGTTTTTGCGCGCTAGCAACTTTGGACACAAAGGTATTTTCATCGAATTAGAGTTGAAATAATTAAGAAATTTATAAAATACCAAAAATTTATAATACCGGTTAAACTTTCAGGCGAAACCTGTTTTGCTACATAAGACGACCGCAGCATTTCTTGACTAACTTTGATCCGTTTGGCTTATAGTAGTAAAAATGTAAGATATTTAAATAATAATTTAAAAGTGAAAAAATAAGAAATTTATTGTTCGAACCTGTTTTTGTAAATCATTTTTAAATTGCAAAATGCTACTTTTTGACATACTATTCTCTTCGGCAGCCTGTTATAAAAATTGATTAAAAGTGGGTCAATGAATAAAATTTACAGATTGATACTGACAGGTTACCCACCTTTTCATAACAGATAAGTCATCATCCGTTTAGTCAAATTATCTATGACAGATTTAAGTTGTGCATTTTCCATCGCGTATTCTTCTGAAGTTTTTGTTGAAGTATTTCTACTATACAGAAATTCAAAAATAAATAATGTAATATTTTGTTGTCGTTCATTTCAT